CGCGACATTGCGCAGTACGCGCGACGCGCACGCCAATGTCCTTATAAGGTAACGAGTTGTAGAGGGGCATTCCATATTATAGTCACATGGGTGTTTCGTAAATCATGAAGTAAAATTGTTGAACAAAATGGTTAGCAACGTCTAGTTTTTAACATGTTTTGATTTTTGGACCGAAAAGATATGTTTTTTCGACCAAAAAGGTATTTATGAATGGGAATAAATATGTGTTCGGTCGGTATTAAACACTCTGTTTAAGTCTGGATGGGTGATAATTACCCAAAGCGAAGCCAAGGGTAATTATCACTTATCCAGACTCCCTAAGGTCTTAAACAGAGTGTTATAATACCTCCCGGACACACATTTATTCCCTTAATAATTCCCGTTCATGATATTAATTATTAATATCATGATGACGCGTCTTCTGATCATTATGTTTGACCCAGGTGGCATGTTCACTGTGTGTAAATTTAAAAGATCTCATGGAGGTTTTTCGCACCGTCTGTTATTGCTAACATTTTACGTGAATTCCAATCAGCACATAGTATTGTCAAATACGTTAGGCTATACACAAACTCACCATATATTAGTTATTACTCGTTGCAAATTATCAACACTCACTGGTTGTCGTCAGCTGAGTTTTACATATTGTTATTCTATGTTGGATATCCTACTCAATAAGCCGAGTGAGACGATTCTCCAAAACGAAATCGCGGTTATATTGTGAGTTATTGTTGCTGATGTATTGCGTGCTAATCGTACTACAGGGACTGTCCAGTTTATGGCTATCTACACACGCGTACTGCAACATAACCTGAGCCAAAAAGCTGCTCAACATAATGCAATGACGAGATCCATAAGGTTCATAGTGCAATGCACAATACAACTATTTGTACGTGCATTGTGTAGACCTAGCTGTAGATAAAGTCTGTACGTGCTGCATCTGGTTGATACTCAGACTATCAATACGCCATACCATCCGTACACGTACACAAGTTCGAGTTTTTTTATTGTAATGTCGGCGTCTCTCTCTCTTCCCCCCCCCCCCCCACTCGGAACTGAATCGTCATATAACTGCACCACCCGTCATCCAAACTTTCCAAATAATATTATTCCATAACTAAAAATTAACGGACTCTTTTCGTTCGTTGTCTCATGTAACTTAATATGAGCGAATATCAGTTATCCCCGAAAATGAGAAACAAAACCATGAACATGTACATCTTTCCGTACGGTCGTACGTTGTATCCGAAAGTCTGTATAAATATTATATTTTATTAATAAATACCTTGGAGAGTTGATGGTTTCTGATTGGTCGAGACTCGATCACGTGGCCTGGCATTAACGGTGATAATGGGCCGGCTTCAAAGATCAAGCGAATAAATGGCCCCTGAACCAGCATTGATCAAGCCCCGTTCAGCCCCATGCAAGCCAATGATTGGTCAAAATATAGTAACAGTCCTGCGGTAGCTTGTAACAAAAGAGCACTGCACATGCGCTCAACCCCCATCGCGTGATACTGACGCGCGCGTACGCAACACAGTTGCTAGAGATGCGTGCGTGCGCGCGCGTAAGGAAGTTTTGAAACGACATCGTACAGCAGTATACAAATATAACATGGTTTGAGGGTGAACAGTCGATATTCGCTCCCCGAGGTATTGGAAGTTGACAAACAAGTTCCCGAGGCGAAGCCGAGGGAACTAGTTTGTCAACTTCCAATACAGAGGGGAGCTAATATCGACTGTCAACCCAAAATAAACCATGTTATATTTGTTTTACTATACCTCATTCATATTCAGTTGCCGATTTGTTTTATATATAATTGAGCACTTAAAACAAAATTTTCGGAGAAACTTGAAAAGCTCACCAAAAGAATGTGTTGCTCAACTTCACTAGTTCGGTTCGTTTGCAATACAGTAACTACAGTTGTAAATACAGTTGTTTGTGTACAACTTTCTTTTGTACAGAAGGCATCTTTATTGTCCATACATTTTCTCCAGTCCGGCAATTATATAATTTACGCGAACCGCGTACCGTGCAACCAAACAACTCTTTTGGGTGATGTTCGCGCGTGCGTACTACACCCGTGCGACAGTAAAGCTTTGTAAAGCGCATGCGTAGTAGACTGTCGCACGTGTAACCCGTGCGACAGTCTACTACGCATGCGTATTTAGCCTGCGCGTGAATCCTCGCGTGCGCGTTTGGTAAACAGCACACGTATGTTTCAGCCGCTCATTTAGTTTGCGCGCATGCGCACTCAAAATATGAAATACCGATAATCAGCAAACATGGATACCTGCAGTCGCAGTTTGACCCACCGAAGTATCGGTCAACATCACGCTCGAAGTACTTTGATACATTTTTTTCCCCACGAAGACAGGAATTTAGGGCAATCAAAGTCACTTTTGCAAACCTTAGCGCAAAAAAAACAGAGAGTATTTGATGCATTTTTTTGGGTTTTTCCGTGTCGTGTAGTACGAAAGTATTGGGTCACAAATTCAAAACAGGCGACAGTTTAGGGGATAATTTTTCAGTTTTGCCGAGTAATTGTAAACTTGTCTTCACTGAAAAATGGTAAAGGATGCCACGGAAAGTGCGATGTATAAATATCGTTTAAGTCGGAAACCGTTTCAATGAGAAAAGTAAGCTCTCACGTTATACGTTTTTTTCGTTGAATGTAACGTTATTGTGCACGTACCTGTACACAGACCCTGGAATCTGGCCCGTAAACTGAACATGGCTAGCCACGCGCCACGCGCCGCGGCGCTCCTTTTGTAATCTTTTGACGCGTTGGAAACTATACATTTAACTGAAACGATTTACAACTGACCGGTTCCCGGCCCTGAAATGCAGTTAAGTACGATCAAAGAGGGCGCTGGGACCAGTTTATTTGTGCACGAAGCTTTCAAAATGGTTTACTCGAAAAATGACGATTTTTATAAGCTACAGGTTTCCTTCTTACATCAAATCACCTGTAAAATGAAAATAATCTATCATCCTTTCCGATGGTATTACGGCTGATCTAAGGTAAACCCGGCAAATTGTCCAAATGTGTACACCAAACTCAAAAGCGAACGATGTTTTTCCTTTTCATTTTGTACGTTTTTTTGTCCATAATTATTGGTGTTTTTTTTATATATTTGAAAAGGTTTTTAGCGCCGTTACCACACTTTAGAGACAATTTATATCTTTGTTCACTTGGTCTACTGATAATTTTTGGTTTGAATAATCTTTTAAGTACGTTTGGGAAGGATACATTTTAAGACATGAAAACCAGACAATCGTTCAGTGCGTCGTCTGCTACCGCTGTTTGCAAGCCGACGACGCGGAGGAAACCATTGCGCATGCGTGAGAAGACAACTAAATGCACGCACGGTCTATGGGGCTGAAACATACGTGAGCAAGAATGACATCTGGCACGTGATGGTGAACTGACCAGTGAGAGTTTGGCTCTCGATCATGAGTATGTATGAGGTATAGTAATGCAGTATATACTGAGGATGTTTACGACGAAAGCGTAGATCTACGATTTATTTTCTTTGAACACTTCGCCCATCGACATATTTACCTTTCCTAAATCAAGCATCTTTGTAATTCCGGACACAAGGAATGTGCAAACGAGATTTCAGCTTACTCCATCAGGTAAAGATATGAAAACATTGTTGTTTCGCTACGGCAGCAGTTTCTGTTGAGTTTACGTCGTTATAGCTGTTAAGCTAAAAATGGCCCATGAACATGAACACAAAAAAGTCTGGAAATATCGCCGAAAGAAAGTCACAAAATTGGAGCATTTTAACTGTTTATTTCGTTAAAAATGTATTTATTAATGGGAATAACAGTGTGAGGATCCGGTCTTCACTGCGTGATAATGACCGGGTTTGGGGGTGACCGCTGTTAATGGACCTCGACTTCGTCTCGGTCCATTAACAGCGGTCACCCCCACACCCGGTCATTATCACGCAGTGAAGACCGGCTCCTCACACTGTTATTCCCTTATTAATGCTGCTTGATTAAAACTTAAACTTGCCGTGATGACCGTTAATAAATGAAGGTGTCCGAACAAAACACGTTAACAGCCCCCTCCCCCAATATAAAAAAAAAAAATCATTTCTTTAATGGTAATGGACATCATTTTGAAAAAAAATCAAAAACGAAAACTGCCTAAATAAAACAAAAATTAAATATCTATATAGTCTAAATCAAGCATCATGCTCCTGTAGGCCTAATATGTCATGTTCTAGACAAGAGGAACTATTATAACTTCCTCGATCGCGACGGATGGTTTGACTTAAACGGCTTAAATTTGTTTTGCGAATAATGCTCCCAATGAACAAATTAAGTTGAGAATGCAACTTTTCCCCGAGTGACAAACTGGGAAATACGGGGTTAATGCTTCTGGTAATTAGCTTGGGGGTCCTATTTTTCCATATGCTTGATGACATTTAAAATTAATGTGACTTTATGTTAATGTGTATGTTTTTTAATATTGATTGTTGTGTTTGTTGTCTTTTGTGTATGGTGGGACTCATGGAAAACCAGTGGATTCCACTGAATGGGACACCCAGTTGAAATAAGATATAAATAAAAAAGTAATACTAGGATGCCAGTCAAAACCTACATCAATTAACATTATGGAAATGAGCTGGTTTTGAGTCGAGGAAAATAAGAAAATGTATTCGTACACTTGTTTGTATTATGATATCTTACCGAGCTGAACATTTGACAGGTTATTAATGTGTTATTCGTTGTCTCATTGTTCCTTGAATCAGCAAAAATACATGGTTTCTATTTAAATTTCCTTTAAAGAAAGTGAAAGCAGAACTGCACTCATACGTACGAGAGAACTAAATTCACAATATATGAGGTTTGTTTCCTATTTGTTTTGTTTTTTATTAATGCACAGGCAAAGAGCAGCATTTACTGATCACTGTGAGAATTTCATTTTCAGAACCACATAATAGGCCTATAAACGGAACATTACATTTCAGAGCCTTTTGTTCAACATGGCGGTTTTATTCCTCGTAACGATATTTGTGCTGACTTGTTTGCATGCTTCCGAAGGTAAGCCCATTATTCTTCACTGATAGAAATCAAAGTAAATGCAGGTAAAAATAATCACTGGTGCAGGAAAAATAATCACTGGTGAATATAATTTCCTGTTGTGAATTGAAGAATTAAGCTTCGATAATTTCGTCGGAGCAGGCTCGTGTATACTCTGCCGTCCTTGCCCATATGTGTGGTTTATTTTTGGTTACTCCGTATAAATCACGAGTTCAATGAAGGTTCGTGATCGATGCGTCTAACGGATCCAGGAATTTTTACAAGAATTAACCCAGCTGGCTCTGTCCGTATTTTGTACCAAGGTGTATATTATTACCAATATAATTGTTTTCAGGTGTCAGAGCAAAGGGGGGGGGGGGTTGCATAATTTTCAATGGGTTTCTATGGTTGGCAACCTCCCCCCCCCCCCCCCCCCCCTGCTGGATACGCGCCTGTCGACCCACTGTCAACGCACATAGCGCATTTAGGGTAAGCCGCGTTGATTTCCCCCCTCCAGTCGTCGGGTTTACAATTTAATTTCATGCGGATCTTCAACTTTCTTTGAAGCTGGAGCGGTAGAACTCAAGATCCAGGGAGGAAACCCACAATATGCCACCGTTGGATCCAACATCACCTTCACGTGCACGTGCATCCTTTCCGGTGATTACATAGGGAAAGACATTTTATTAAGATGGCTTTTCAACAACAAGCCATTGACCTGGCCTATCTGTGACGATCAAAACGTCATCGACCTCTGGAATGATACCCACAAGGTTTGCAGTTTGACCATCGACCCTGTTACGGAGACATCAGGAGGTGTCTACGTGTGTAGGATGCTGTCCCTAGGCTCAAAGGAATATAGTGCGACTGTGCTGCTCGATGTTATAGGTGAGTCTGCTTATTACAGAACCCGATCCAAACATTTTGTTTACTTCAATAAACCACGTTTCCGGTTTTTTTTTTACATTAAAGTTTCCTTTTTAACCCCTAGCTATTCTTTATCAAGCCTCAAGTTAAAACATGTTTTAATATAAAAAATCCCAAACACTTTATAATAAGTTAACCACAGATTGGTTAAGATCCCCAACTTGTTTTGTACACCACCGTGACAATAAAAAACAATGCAGAACCGCCTTCAAAGCATTTGAGGTGTATTGGTTTTGCTTGTGTGTTTGTTTTCATTCGACCACCCTTCGATGATCCCTTCGATAAGGCCAAAAAAAGTCTCCGGTTTCTGGTATGGAGCTTGCCCCAAAAAGGGGTGCGGCGACGCGGCTTTTTTTTTTTTTTACCTGTTTTTTTTTTCTTGCTTCAAATGTCGGCTGTTGACTGCAAATGGAGCCCGACTAAACTTAGTGCAAATATATGAGAGTCCAGAGAGGCCACATAAAGCTTATTCTCGATCATAACCCCATCTAAAAAAAAAACACGTTAAAAAAGTGCAGCAGCAAGATTCCAGTCAAACCAGTGAGTTTGGCGGTTTTGAGACATCATCTTTCATTGAAAAAAAAACTTTTTCATTTTGCCGACGCGCATGGCTAAGGCAACGCGCGCGCATACCAGAAACCGGAGACATTTGTTTTTTGGCCTAACCCGATTTGACGACTCCTCGGTGGAACGACGAGATGCCACGCTGCATCTGCTGGACCCCTCCACCGGAGCTGTGCTGGACGACCCCGAGTTTGGCCCCGTCTGCGTCCAGTCCGGCACCACGCGGCTATTCGAGTGCAGGATTCAAGACGCCAGACCAGGGGTCTGGAACTTCACGTGGATGCTTGGGAATCAGATGATAGCTACTAAAAGCGAGGCACGGACCGGAGCTGGGCTGGTCAACGTGAGCATCTGGCACATCGTGACAAACCCTGGCATCAAGACTCGGGAAAGTAACCTAATGTGCCTTGCAACGAGCAGTGATCAGTCACTGAGCACCAGAGTGCTGATAACGTCTTGTGCAGGTGAGTATTGTATGTGTTTGCTGGTCCCAGACCTCTTTTTACCTGCCAGTGATTTCACCTATTAGGCATACGTCTAAATGTCATATTCGTTCGTCTTCCCTAAGATCATTTTTCTTAAATGTTACTTTCTTTACCCTGAAACAAATTTATGTCACCAAAATGGGCATCATGTGTTTGTTCTGTCATACATTGATACAATCTCAATGTGTGTTTTAGTGTAAATTCAAGGGACTCATCAAGCAAACTGAAGTGTGAAATATCTTAACGCTTATGAAGTTCACAGATTTTTCTATGGTCCTTTTACATTTGGGTATTCAAAATGTGCACAGAGTTCGCGCAATGTATTTTGGACACCCATTCCTTGTTTTAGAATACAATATTATGAACACTATGAAAATATTATCACGGAGAAAGATAAATAAAACATGCTTTGTGACAGAGGGTATCTCTTTCGATCTTGAGTAAAGTCTTTTAATTTTCCCTGACAATTGCATGACTCATCTACTTGTTTATGACACAACTGAAGAGAAAGCAAAATATGTGATACAACCGTAAAGTCAAAACTACCTTTCATTTTAGTTTTTCTATTTCTGTTGCAAAGACAAACTTTATTCAACTAAATTTACTGTTTTTTCTTCATAGTATATGTTCTGATATAGTCCATCTTCACTTCAATTCTAATCTGAAATTTTGAAGAGCAAAACATTCGATTTTTATTCAGAAAGAAGATTTCATAACGATGCTTTATAGAAAAGTAATAGGATGAACAGAAAATTATACCTTTTATGATTCTGATGTATGACCCAGTCCGACATAGTCATGTGATACATTTTCCTTGTTCAGATGTAATACCCATTCTTAAAGGTACCGGGGTAAGAGTTGACCCAGAATTCGCGTCATATTTGACTTGATACTTTTCAGGGTCAAATGACACTTGTTGAGTAATAATGACACGTTCTGAATCATTATTCAACAGCCAAAAACTTGAAAAAGTGTCAATTTGACCAGTAAAAAAAAATTGACCCTCAAACATGCCAGGTAAAATTTGACCCGGGTTCCGGATCAAATCTGATCCAAGGCTTTCTTTGAGTGTGTCAGCAAAAGAAAACATTGATTTGTCTTGAAAATGTGTGAAATATTCTCATGTAAACAAATAACCTGTTCGTTATTCAATTAAAAAGATGCTCTCGTCAAAGGTGCAAATGTAGTGCTTATCGCCATAGTAACTGTGGCCAGTGTTCTAAGCGCATTGGTTGTCATGGCAATCGTGATGCTCGTCAAGTCTAGAAGGAACCGAAGAGAACAGCGTAGTTTTCAGAGCAAACGTGAAGCGCGATCGTCTGTCGAAATGGTAAGCCTTTGTTTATTTGGCTGATTTTTATAATAAATAAAAATGGAAATATTTACGACAGAAAAAAAATGAAACAAGGAAAGGGAAATTCAAGTGTGAAGGAATTTCATTGAAACTGTCACGCGATAATTTTAAACAGGTATATTATTTATATAACGATAGGAAAATGAAAGTTGCATGCAGAAAAAAATACGAAGGGTCAGGCCTTAAATATATATATACAGACATCTTAGACATGTTTAAATTCAATTATACATGTAATCAAACGTAAGCAAAATAATGAATTTCAAATTTAACTCAGCAGCCTTAAAACAAATCATTTTTGTGTGTAAACAGCATTAAAAGCTTAGTGACCTAAAACGTGCAAATTGTTCAAATGCTATAGACTTGACAAGTATTTTTTTTCTTGAATGCCAAAAGCTTTTCAGAATGGCTTTAAATTTATTGAAAACGAGGGAGGCTTGGCTAGTTTGCAGATGAAATTAATAAGTCGAGAGAAAAACATAGATATGTTTTGTATCAAATATTACATATTTTGCCTTTTTGTGTCTCTTTCTTTCAAGGATGTTGCTTTGGACCAGGATGCTTTAGGACAACCAGGTCAGTCTGAGGTCGGCAGCTCAACGGAAGTGAAATATGAAGACAGAATTGAACCACAAGATCCACACAAATACGAAATAAGGATTTCACCACAAGATTTACACAAGTACGAATACAAAATTTCACAGCAGGTTGCACACCAATACGAAGACACAAGTTCTCCGCAGGTGGAGTATGATGACACTATACCACCACTGGAGGAAACACCAATGCTACTTGAAAGCGATGATGATGACAATCTACCTCCTTGGGCTGAGGGGTGGAAGGTGCCTCGCTGCGACCTAATCATGGATGAGCGAGTCCTCGGAAGAGGGAACTTTGGTGAGGTACGATCGGGTGCTGTGATAAAAGATGGAGAACTGACAAGGGCTGCTATCAAGATGCTCAAAGGTAACCTATATCTACTTATCATATGAGATTAATATATACCTTACAACGGTCTAACGGCAATACACAGACAATTAAGCCCCGCCCAAAGGCGTTTTAACCAATTACAGACAGTGTTTTTTATGTCTGACATGGGTACATGCGCGTGTAATGCGCGCGGCTTGTAAATAGTGGCATGTCATTGATCTCCATTATCAATGTGGCATTCAGTGAGGCTCACGTCTTATGTTCCAATTGCACAGTGGGCGGGGCCTAATGGGGCAGTCAGTTCGAATATACACGTCAACTTTGTGGTATTTAGTTGACAGCTATACACTAAAGGTTAAATAATATTAAACACTGTGTTTCTCAAACAGGCCATGCATCGACGAGTGAGAAAGATGATTTCATCGATGAACTTCGCACGATGACCTCTTTTGGCCACCATCCTAATGTCGTCTCGCTGCTTGGCGCATGTCAGCATCGACGTATGTATTCGGTTTATTGTAAAAAAATATTGATAATATCTGACTGAATAACAACGAAAACAAACCCGTAAATAAAAGACAAAGTTACAGTTGAGATTAAGACAATGTATTAAAATTTAGTTCAGTTTGGTAGTGTGCTTCTTGATCAAGTCGAACAAAGATGAACGAGTTGCTTTCTATCACGTGTTTACATAAACATGTGAAAATAGCGTGTGACATTGACTCCGGAAACCATACTGTTTCTTAATCAGAGGTGTTGTACGTCGCGTTGGAGTATCTTCCCCGCGGTGATCTGCGCAGCTACCTGCGGACGGCTCGCTCACAGTCAGACTCAGACGAGGATGCCTTGTCTTCCGAACAGCTGGTCAAGTTTGCTCTGGATGTTGCCAAGGGAATGGAGCACCTTGCTGAAGCAAGGGTAAGGAGCCGTCGCATATTTGCAATTTTTTTCAGTTGTTGATTATGAAAGGCTCAGTTTTCATATTTACACTCTACTGAAACCCTGTTTGGATTTGACATGCACGAAGTCCGAGTTTTATTTGGATTGATACTATTCATGGTCCAAAACTACATTTCTATTGATCACATTCCGGATCAAAATGCTAACCTACCCACTAAAAGTTCCGGTGTACATTCAGGAATCTACCTCAGGAATCCGGGGGTCAGATTACACCTGACACGCTCCTGGTTCAAATCAAACATTTCACGTATACTAAAATTAATGTGGTCGAAATGACAATTGTTTCGTCACAATGACATTATTCTGGATCAAATGACCCCGAAGAGTAACACAAAGATATGGCATGTTTTCAATTCTACCCAGCTTTAGGTCAAATCTGACCCGAAATTAAATCAAATTTTGACCTTGGACTTTAGGTGCAACTAAAATGAAGGCTCTGTCCTCAGTGAGCAGTTCCACAATGGATTAAGAGGTATTGTTATTGTGTTCTTTGATCTTAAAAGGTGATCCACCGAGATTTGGCTGCCAGGAACATCCTAATATCTGAAGGGCTGACTGCTAAGGTTTCAGACTTTGGACTGTCCAGAGGGGAGGATATCTATGTTCAAACGTCAAAGGTAATTGTTTTAAACTAAACTCCAGACCTATATACCAAGTTCGTATTTCAGTTTTAGAGAGGTTCATACGATGCTGAAAGTATTTTACAAAGCTCATATTGCCAGTCAGACACAAGCAAGACAGTTACTATTGAATAACATATCAACTAGAAAGCACTCAGAAAGCGCAAACCTCCACAAAATCACCTCAGAAACACATGTATACCCATATCCACTGGACTTGCACATTTTATTGCACGTTCCCCACTCACGCATTGTATCAAATGGTTGAGTCCATTGACCTGTTGATTTCAGTGTTGTATGCGCTTGAGCACATAGGGATGCAGACAAGTAAATCGGTCCGAAATTTCGTTATTATAAGAGTATTGTGAAGGCCGTGAACTTGATGATTTGTAAAAAATAAAAACAAAAGAAGGTTGGAAGCCATGCAGCGGACTGCGAGCCCGTATAACTGTGAAATGTGGATGATGATTAGGTCCTAAAATGTCTTATTATGCAATGGAGCATAGGCGTCCATTTTCAAATTGGATGGTTATTTCTCCCAAATATGGGCTATCCATCCTCCCTCATGCCATACACGTGCATGGTTTGGGGGTATTTTTCACAACTTCGCTTTTTATAGGGTGCAGACCAGTAAATCGGTCCGAAATTGCCTACGCCGGCCAAATCACGATTTGCATGCCCTCACATTCTTCAACATTAGATCATTGTGAACGCCGTGAACTTGATGATGTGTAAAAAAAAAAAACAGAAGCTCGCATTTCTGTGAAATGTGGATGATGAATAGGCCCTAAAATTGCTCTATTTTGCAATGGAGCGTAGGTGATGTGCTTCAGGACTACTTTTAGTGGTGATCATCTTTGGATGGAATTTTTCCTCAAAAATCATTAGTAAACACCCAGATAATTGAACAGAAAATGAAAGATGATGAAATAAGCTTTAATTTGATATACTTTTGATTTAATTTGAGTATTTTTACCCGATTACATCTAGAACTGTTTGAGATAACTTATTAAATGACAAACCAACACCGATAGTAGCATTACCTCCTTGGGGGAGGTAATAATTTCGTCAGTCACATGTCTATAAATAGTCCATTGAATTCAAGTCAAGTTTCAAATCAATTGTAGCAAAGTGAGGCAATTATTTTTCGGTATTCCTCACTCCCACATGCTGGTGACATTTCTTATAATTTGACTTTGATTGAGATATTGCAAATATGTATGATCTTGATTCTCGACCTCTTTCTTGGCATGTAAGCTAGGACATTATATGGGACATCCCATATCATGAGAAGTTGACAAAAAGTGCAATCTACACAAAGTCCCGAGTCAAATTTGACCAGGACTCCGGGCTATCAAGTTTCTGCCCTGAAACTTCTGGGTCAAAATGACAATACTCGTGGTCATTGTATTGGTCATTTTGACTCGGAAAAGTGTGATTTTGACCCGAAAAAACAGATCAGATCAAATATGACCATGATTCCTGGTCAAATTTAACCCGTGACTTTTTTAAGGTTAGTTTTCATGCCTTTTCTTTTGCATTTGAATATTATTATTATTATGCATTATTTATTTGAATTATAGAGGCGGGTTCCAGTCCGCTGGTTGGCTATTGAGTCAATCAGGTATAAGAGGTACACGACAAAGAGTGATGTGTAAGTACAAATAACCTCGTTTATCGTTTGGAGTATTTTATTCGTGATGCAGGCCTAAATCTACATATTTTGTTGGGCGAAATATTTCCCGTCACAGAATTAAAGAATTCTTGACTTAATTGTTATCATCATCAGGTGGTCTTTTGGCATCCTCTTGTGGGAAATAACCACAATAGGTAAGACATATTCTGCTTAAAAATATACTGCGTTTTTTTTTGCTCAAATGGAAGAAATCAGTCCTGCCATTATCAAACCGTTGAAGGCAACTTTATTTCCATCAAGATTCTTTGAAGTGGTGTGAAAACTAAACAATTGGTCCTTTCCCCTTTGTCCACTGTATCTAATTTATATTTAACGTACATTGTAAAGGGGGAACCCCCTACCCGACCACCAAGAGCGAGTCACTGGCCAGGAAGCTGAAGGGAGGATACCGTATGCCCAAGCCCAGCAACTGTGACGACAAAAGGTAAGATGTTCACTTTGTGCTCAGTTTTATCAACATGTAGTTTTTGTCCAAAATATATAATTATTGCTTTAAAAAGACCTGCTGAAACATCCTCTTGGCGGAACAGTAGATAGCGAGTGTCAGCACCTCTGCGTGTCAACATTCAAGCTGGCTCGTACGGCAAACTTGACCCAGCTACAATGCTCCGTAGGCCGTACTTTTTTGTGAATGCCGAGCCACCAGTTTGATGAGCATGGGCGTCGCTAGGGGGGGGGGGGGGGGGGCAAGGGGGGCATTTGCCCCCCCCCCCTCTCCCTGGAAAAGCCCCAAAAAAAAAGAAGAAGAAAAAAAAAAAGAGGCGCGAAGACAAAGTGGTGTAAATTTAATGAGTAGGGGGGGCAAAATGTCCCTGCCCCCCCCCCCTCTAAAACTGATAAATCGAGAATGTGTTGAGAAATGCAAACATTTTTTGGCAAAAAAACAATTTGTGCCCCCTCTAGAAAAAATCATGGCGACACCCATGTTGATGAGTAGAAGTATGCATGCATATGAGGTGGGCCTAGGCCTACTTAAATAGTCTGGAAGTCTTTTCGAAAAGGTATAGTCTTGTGGACAAAGAGAGATGCAGCCATATGTAACAATGGACTAGCTGCTATAAACATCACTGCATGTGTTTCTAGTTTATGCTACAAAATATGTTGTTGTTAAAAAAACATTCATTCACGTGATTTCTGCATAAGCGAGTGCTAAAAGGAGGATCTGAAAATCAGAAGAATCTTCACTCGTAAGGTTTCCCTGTGACTCATTTAAATTAGTTTCGCCCTGATGCGTAAGTGCTGGGAAGAGGATCCGAACAACAGACCAAGTTTCTCTGAACTGGTCTCTACCCTAAGTGGCAAGGATGACAGTAAAATTGAACATGTAAGTAAAGCATCAATTTCGCATCAAAGTTACCCTAGCCCACCGCATCCTCTTAGATATTTAGCTAGAGGAAAATAAACAAAACATGTTCCTTTTGTTTAGATAGGTACACTGCACTTAATACATTTATCACCATTTGTGTTGGAAGCAATTATGAAGCCCGGGAAGAGACAGGGTGGATTTTTTTTTTTGGGGGGGGGATTTGCTAATTCGTTCCCACGAATTAATAATTCGTTGCCACGAATTGCTAATTCGTTCGCACGAATTGCTTATTCGTTCGCACGAATTACTATTTTGTTCGCACGAATTGCTAACTCGTTCGCACGAATTGCTATTTCGTTCCCACGAATTGCTAATTCGTTTCCACGAATTGTCAATTCGTTCCAACCAATTACCAACTCGTTTCCACGAATTACTCACGCATTCCAGGATCCACGAGATAGCAATGCGTTCCCTCGAATTAGGAAATCGTGGGGACCAAATAGCAATTCGTGCGAACGATTTAGCAATTCTTGGGAACGAGTTAGCAATTGTTGGGAACGAATTAGCAAATTCCAAAAAAAAATCCACCCTGTCCCTTCCCTTGCTTCATAGGCAATCTTTTTTTACTAGTGTGGTATTTTAAAATCCGGCTAGACCCTAACCACGAGGGTATGCACACATGCTTATAAAGGACATTGTTCATTTCATTTTCTTTCAGACCTATTTTTCTTTTGACCGAGTGCGTTACGAGAATTTGAGTGTCATCCGGCCTGAGTTTGATGACAACTGATCAATCGACATCAGCGTTCCTTCAACTGCGTCAACCGTTTTCCCGTGTCTTAATAGGCCGTATTTTTTAGCGATTGCGGCGCCATGTTGGGGGGTACAAAAAGACGAGTAATATGCCAAAAATTGGATGCTGTTATGTACCCAATAACCTTATTGCAGCGTGCCATAGAATGTCAGTACGATGCATGGTATTATAAATAAGCATAGGCCTATTATATTCGGTCTTACCACGGGTCACTTTAATGTATTAGTATAGACATATCTTTAACAAACTTAACTTTGTTATTCAAGATTTTTCACTTTATTGAACTTGGACCTTGCCACAATTTTTTCCCTAAACATTTCTCCGTTGTCTTTGTTTTGTTGTGGGTTTTGTTTTGTTTTGTTTTGTTTTGTTTTGTTTTGGGTTTTTTGGTTGTTGTTGTTGTTTTTTGTTTTGTTTTGTTTGTTTCGGAGTTTTTTTTTTTGGGGGGGGGGACGGGGCATTGATTTATAACCACGTCCAAAAAAGGTAATCGGCGAGCCACTTTATAATGTCGGCATACCATTTTATGCAGCCACATCTTCAACATACCTCCTGTTTATCGCACTGTCACTGCGACAGCGCATTCTTCGGACAGCTTAATTTTCAACTTATATCCAGCAAATTGAGGAAACGAGATGTCCTGGCATTTGTTTTGAAATCAGTGGTGCTCAGTTGATATTTCAGTGAGCCAAGTGAGGTATCAATGGACAGCTGATGATTAATTCTTTAAGCTAATTTTATGATTAATTCCTTTTCTCAATCAAAGCCATTTATTTAGGAATACCTGATTGGATACACCCAATATATCATAACATAATATTTGCACACGCGTGCTCCAACGTGAACTATAAACTCGTTTATCAATGAAACACATTGCTGCCATTAGGCATTGACAGGCTGAATAAAGTTCAAAGTCAATGCACTGTGCATGCTAGACAGTGTACGTCTACAACACAGTCAGGTGCGTGTACTGCACCTGCAGGCAATAATAAGTCAAAAGTCGAGTCGAAATCATTACTGTGGCATCATGTCAACTCCCACTCTCCCTCTAGCGGGACACACATACCAGTGAGCCAAGTGAGGTATCAATGGACAGCTGATGATTAATTTTTGAAGCTAATTTTATGATTAATTCCTTTTCTCAAGCGAAGCCATTAATTTTGGAATACCTGAGTGGATACACCCTGTATAAAAACTCATATTTAATGTACTTTTTATTTTTTTACAGAAGGTCGGTCTATCAGTTCGCTTCTTTTTGTTGCATCGGTCGGTTTATTTTATCTTTTTTTTTTTATTTCGTCTTCGTATTGCTTTTTAAGCAAGTTTTCTTTGTTTGATACGCTCCTCGTTTTAAGTTTAAATGTGCAATAGTTTCGAAAAGAAAAGTAAATGTAATGTTATACATGGAGTAATAATCCATTTGATTAACAGCATAATAATATTTAGTGCACCTTAATGGAGAAAACAAATTAGAGATGTTAAGCTCTTGGCAAAAAGTTTGTTGAGGTACGCTTATGCGTTATCTAAATTATAAAGAAAATGACATTGTAGTGTTGTAAACCTTAATAACATTGAGACTAGCAACGCTAGTTGAAAATTGCTGGTTGGTTGCTATACATTTTTTTTTGCTCAGTATAGATCGTGAAATAGAAGTCTTTAAATACCTCTGAAGTGTGCTTGTCTGCGTTTTTAGAGCAATAATGTTTCATTTCGTTGTTCTAATTGCATTGATAGCTATTTTGTTTTATTTGTTGAGCGGGTACACCTTGCTATTATGACAGTAAAAGTACTACGATCTTGTCGTTATGTCTAGAGCGCTTTATTATAATATATGAATACAATTGTGATAAATATTAAGAGCTGATCAACTGTGTGGGGGGGGAGGGTTTCAAATAAAAGGAGGAAAATCACAACTGACGCAACTTTAACAAACCCGTTGTGTAAATCCCTTGTCAATTTGAAAGAGGGCGTTTTTTTGGTAATAGGACAAGCCTGAAACGGGACTATCGAAGAAGAGGAGTCTGCATTCTGCATGGTTTTGAAAATATAAGCGATTATTTTCAAGAAATAAAATCAAAATTGCCTTCGCCGGCCACATTACGATTTGCATACCCTCAAATTATCCGGTATTACCGAATTTTGAGGGCCGTGAACTTGACGATTTAAAAAAAAATGATGGAAGCCCTGCAGAGAACTGCGATCTCGCATTAGGCCAAATGTGGATGAAATTAGGCCCTAAAATGGCTCTACTTTGCAATGAAGCGTAGGCGTCCGTTTTCAAAATGGCGATGGGCTTCAGGCCTGCTTTTAGGGGTGATCATTTTTGGATGGACTATTTCCCCAAAAGTCGTTGAACCCCCCCCCCCCCCCCACCGCCGACCAAAAGAAACTGAACGCAAAACGAAAGATGATGATATGAGATAGGCTTCAGTTTGATGTGTGTCTCAGACAAATTGGAGATTCTGTGATTATTTTAAATAATTTTAGGAAGTGCGCGTAATATCACTGAGGCCTATGGCAGTCTATTTACTGGTCTGGAACCTTATACGCGAGGTGAAGACAACATGGCTGCGCCCATGGAATACAGTGTTAGATCACAAGAGGGCGCTGTAACCATTTGACGATGAGGTAAACATTATGTGATGTAATTCATGGAAGAAACTTCAGTGTCAGCTGTGTCAACATCAAAAGTATAGTAGTGATAACATTAAACACAGAAATTGACTGCACCGAACCGAATTTGAACTCTATAAGAAATTCAGACTCCTTGGTTGTATGCCGCAAGTGAATAAAATAGTGTCAAGCGGAAAACTGAAAAGCGGAATATGAGAAATGGGAATTTGCTAAAAATTTGCAGCCAGCACAACGACAGGGAAAAACCCAGGTACAAAGAAAGATTTAGAGATTCAGAATTGCAGTGGGGAACGGATAATTTGAAAGGATCAGCAGATAGTTTTCGGTAGGACGGCCCTTGTTAGAGTTGAACTGAACACAATTATCCAGAGTTGTATCATGATGACCAGCTTTACATTGAAAAAAAGTACACAAGGTGCTGGATTTCCCTTCTAAGCGAATTTCTCTTCTGAGGGATATAATGACCAAGGTCTGAAGTTTGACGGATAATATCTTTATGACATGATTCTCACCTGAGTTTGCCGGGCATATCTTGTAGGTTGCTACACAAAGTCAAAGTGTTAACGGATTAACTGTTTTGTACGTAACCGCCTATTGCCAAAATGCTAATCCCAACAGCGCATAATTATAATATGAGGCACGTTGATTACTGAAACTCACCATATTTCTTGTGAAAACCAACAGCACTGGTGGTTCGTTGTGGCCGGCTCTAACGACGAAATCGCTGTAATAATTATTGTTTAGTTATTGCTGCCGTGGTATTGCGTGCTCCAAACACTACGGGGACCTTCCACTTAGTCCTGAAATATGCATGACTATTATCAAAACATATTATATGCACACGCATGCTCCAACTTGAACTACAACCTCGTCTATAAATTATACACATTGCTGCCATTATGCATTGACGGGTTGAATAAAGTGCATAGTCCAATGCACTGTGCATGTCAGACAGAGGCAGTTTACAACACAGTTAGGCGCGTGTGCTGCACCTGCAGGGAATAATTAATAGGCCTAAAGTTGAGTCGAAATCATTACTTTGGCATCAAGTCAACTCCCACTCTCCTTCTAGCGGGACACACATACCGTCCGTACACTTCAACCAGTTGGATTAAGTTTTAAATATTTAACTTGTATGATAATATTGATACGAACATTTATTGCTGGTGTCTGCAGTCTTAATACAAAAACATGTAGTTGTGTTATTGGGTTGCTTTTGCGCGCGAAAAGATCTACACTGCTGGCTTATCATCACTAGACCACAATGTCGTTCGAACTCTTCAAACATGGGCGTCGCGGGGGGGGGGGGGGGGGCAAGGGCGGGGGGGCGCCCCCCCCCCCCCGGAAAGGCAAAAAAAGGGAATTAATTAACCGAAAATTTGTTGAGAAATACAAGAATTTTTTTGGGGAAAAAAAATGTTTTGCCCCCCTCTAGAAACAATCCTGGCGAAGCCCATCTCTTCAAATAGTACTATTCCACAGCTAGGAATTAACATATTTCTTTTTATTGTTTTTAAGACGATAACAATTCTTTCGTTGGATGATACAACCGGATCTGGTAAAAATAGTTTATTTACGGCGACACATGTCTTTATTGCGGATGCAAACTTACACTCTAAAAAAGCATTAGTCAGATTTGACTAGAAACCAGTCAAATTTGACTAGCCATTCAGGGTCAGCTGGGTGCAACTGAAAATCAGTCAATCTGACTAGATTTTTCCAGTCAGTATTATTGACTATGGAAAAGTAGTTATGCAAATAACTGAAATTGGAGTCGAACCCAACTACGTTTCTAGTCATAGTATTGAACTTTGCATGTTTAACTTAATTCCTATTCAATTTCCAATAACTGGGAAAACTAGTCAATATTTTGACTAAGTTGTTTTTAGAGTGTATGTAAAACGCTTTCCATCCATCCACCTATTGTTTTATGTTCCTTAACTTTCAGTAGCCGCGGTAACCGTTAATGCAAGTATATCAAAATATAAACGGAAAATTATATTCAAAATATAATCAATCATTTACTTACAAACGCTTCTTTAAAGGTTATGTGCGACATTTGAAAACATTCAAAAACAAAACTGCCAAACTATCATGAAATACTTTTCTTGACTGTAAGTGAGTAATAATTCTCAAGTATCCAGTGCCCCTACTGCCGAGTTTGATGTCAGAAGAATGACCATCATTTTCTCGCGATGGTTTGGACCAAATAAACAAAAAAACAGCTTTGTTTTCGCTAGTACTGCTCCCAACTTATCGACTTAACTTAGTTTACAATATTGTATACATTATCTGTGATAGAGAATTACTTCCCTGAGTGGCAAAATGGGGACCATACCACAAGAGGTTCCAAATCACATCATAATAA